ACTCGAGCATGCGTGTTCTGTAAGGTTGGATTACTGGAGGATAAGCTTCTTGGGAGGGTGTCTAGCAGGTGTCGACCTGTGCGATGTGACTCACAGACAGATTCTGGGATAGATGGGAATGAAGCTCGTTACTGCCTGCTGAAAAATAGTCTGTTTCGAGGCATGTAATAAATGCCCTATTTAAATGCTGTGAGAGGCACTCAGGCCCTGGGACACTGCTGATGACCCACGCAGAAGCCTTCTTCTTTTTTTTTTTTTTTTTTTTGAGTTGGAGTCTCACTCTGTCACCCAGACTGGAGTGAAGTGGCCACTCCCGGCCACCGCAGCCTCGACCTGCTGGGCTCCGGCGATCCTTCCGCCTCAGCCTTCCAAGTAGCTGGAACTACAGGCGCACACTACCACGCCCGGCTAATTTTTTATTTTATTGTGGAGACGAGGGCTTGCCAAGTTGCCCAGGTGGGTCTTGAACCCGTGGGCTCAGGCAAGCCACTTGTCTCAGCCTCCCAAAGTGCTGGGATTACAGGCTGAGCCACCGAGCCTGGCCACAGAAGCCTTCTTTGGAAGGAATTGCACGTGACCCACTAGAATGTAAGCTACATGAGGGCACGGACTTCATCCGCTTTGTTCATTATTGTATCTCCAGCAATAAGAACATCCAGCATATGTTTTGCATTCGATAAATATTTGTTGAACACATGCATGAATTAGTAGAAAAGTAATTCATTCCATACAGTAAATATTTATTCATTTTTCCAAGGTCTGTTTCCTTTATGTTATGTGCAGGCTTCATGCCTTACATGGCATGGATTATCACAATCCTCAAATGAATAAAATAAGATATTCATGAACATGATCACAAGCAAAAACAAATTTACCTTTGAGGAGAGGCGTGACATGATCCTATTATCCCCGAACAATGTTACAGAGTTATGAGAATGTTTACAGAGTTATGAGAGCCAAGAGACAAGGAGAATCAATGCAAATTCTGTGGCAACCTTAATGAACCTCTTCGTACAGCTAGGGAATTGCTCTCAAGTGGCTAATGGGATGAGTAATGATTCTGAAGGTCCAGCAGGGAAGAAATGATGCATACCTGGGTGCTAGTCACTATTCCATCCCTACCTGGACTACTGCCACTTTGTTGTTCCCTGGACATGGAAAAGAGAGCCCAGCAACAGAGCCAGGACTGTTGCTCACTGGTGCTATCCTGGTGCTGATACTTGGTTTGTCTATAGAGACTAGGAGGAGTTCAGTTCACCCCTCCACAGGCCTCCCCCAAGTTCAGACAACCCAAGTTTTATTTGCAAAACTCAAACTTGAAGTATTCCATAAAAAGAAGGAAGCCAAATATTTGAAGCATCGGACCTGAACCAGTCACTTCCAAAAGTCAGGAGAGCAGTGAATGTGTCTGACACATCTGCCATTTTGTTCTTCCTTCCTCCCACTGAGTCTAGGACTGTGAAATTCCCACCACCACTACTGGCCACACATACACTCCACTATCTCCTTAAGTCTGGAGGGCTAAAGGGCCTCCTGTCTCTGCCATCAATGCTCCTGAGCACCAGAAGTTGAGTCTTCACTTTCAAGTAAACTGTCATATCCTTGGAAGTTGAAAATAACCCTGAAAAGAAAAATTCACACGCAGCAAAAAGATGCAGCCTTGCTCCTTAGAGATCCAACTGAAATGCCACGGTCATCGTCAGCAGATTTTTTAAAAGGCGTCTGTCTTTTATTTCAACCCCCCTCCAGCTTTTTACACCAATACTTTTGAAAAGTAGCTAAAGCTCTGAGAGTTTTCTCAGATTAGGTAACACAGCCTGCCTTTCGAGGATAAGCAATATGTGGGCCATACCATCTGGGTAATTGGAATTGAATCCAGGAAGGTATGCCAAATGATTTTCCAGCTTTGCCCCCCAAAATGCAGCTCTAGAAGTCACTGAATTTACCAAACAATATCTGACCGACCCAACACAGACATGCTGCTAGGGCACAGTTGCAATTTTTCTTTCATAGGGCTGAAATGTGACAGATTTTTCCTGGAATGAAGCATTTATAAAAATATGCTTAATCCATTCTTAGCAACTTGGTAGTTTTTTCATGACAATATAATACCTTTCATTCTGAAAAACATTTTGCCTATTGTAGCTACTGCACAACCTCAGCACTGCCTAAAGCCAGTTCTCAGATGAGTGTGGTAGCCAATTGCAAAACAGGAAAAGGGTGCAATACATTTTGGAACATGGAGGTGCATATACACCATAGTTTGGTAATGAGAAAAGAAAAGGGTTATGGGGGCAGGACTGGATACAACCTTGTACCCTTCCCACAATAGGAGATACTGAGGTCATCTTCGGAGCAGGTAGCTTATTGTTGGTGGTAGGAACTCTTCCAATGAGCATCTCTTCTGCTGCTTGTCAATTCCTAGTGCAGCTTACACCATTCTTTGCCTCCGTTCTTCCCTTCTCTACCCAAAGAGTCTGCTTCCAGCACCCTAGGAAAACTGTATCTCTTAATCATGTCAGCTAGACATTTGGTCATTGCTGCAGCCTCTTACAAGAAAGGATCTTTCCTCCAGGAAGCTGACCCTGCTATGATCTCAGCACTCAGGGATCCCATCAGGCACATAGGAAGTGAGACCCAAGACAATGGACTGGTCCCCAGGGGCCTATACCTTTCATTAGCCAAGGATTCCAGATGACTGAGTGTGAAACCATAGGCCTAAGTGATAAGGGAATAAAAACTGCTTTCTCATTTCTCCTTGTTACCATTACTTCATGCTGTCCTTTCTCTGTGTGTCACACTTATCATTCTTGTTTGACAGAGAGAGATGCAGAGGCACTGAGCTTGAGGAAGTATCCCGGGGTGCCCCTGAATCTTTTAACAAATGTTCACTAACTGCCTATAGTGCTGGGGGATTTGGTGGGTGGTGTGTCTCTGCTCTCAGGGAGCTCATGACAGAGTAGGGGAGAGAGGCAAGTAAACTGGCAATTGTGACACAGTGTGACAGGGAACTATGAAGGGGGAAGGTGAGGGTCCTGTGGGAACACATTGGAGAGTATCCTAACCCAGACCAGAGAGGCATGGAGGCAGTTCCAGAAGCCTCCCTTGACAAAGTGACTACAAAACTCAGTCCAGAAGGGTAAGAGCAGAAGCAAGAATACTTTGCAAGAGGAAAACAACATGCAAAAATGCCAGAAAGCTGGGGAGATTATAGGCGACTCTAAATGCATCTGTAGAACCAGCAGAGTGACCAGATCATGCATGGCCTAAGGCTGCAGCCTGAGAGCAATGGGAAACTGTTGAACTGAAGTGACATGATTAGGTTTGCCAGAGGGAGTGAGTTACACAGAGGAGACAAGCGCCACTCCCTCCCACCACAGCTCCCCAGCCCTGAGCTCTGCCCTGAGAGGTCCTGTAAGGCTCAGTTCCAGCCCATGAAATGGTAATTGTGGCACTTAAAGGAAACAAGGAGGGAGAGTGAGAAGGTGAAAGGGCGGCTAAAGACGTTTTAGGATAACTGGTGTTCTGCAGTGACTGACCATACAGCCATCATTTGACACTTGCAATATTCTCAGTCCAATGCCACAAGCCTATCTCCCCCATCAATATTTTAGTGTGGATTCTTTAAAATTCACTTCTTTCCCTTTCATTTGTGGTTTAAAAATTCCTTTTTCTTAATAGTAACACAGCTAAAAGGGAGCTACAACACAGGTTCTACCCATGGTGGTCTTGTTATTAATCCCTCGATATAGCCAGTTGTCCCCATAGAAGAACTTCCAATCCCCTCAAACCCTCTCAGACAGGGTTGGGGAGGCTGCAGTCAACTCTGGGGTTGACACTTGGAAGGTAACACTAACCCCTCGCCCGGCACATGGTCAGAACTCAGGAGAGCTAGTGGGAGCACTTCCTCCTAAAGAAGAAACAAAACCCTTTGGTTTCTCCTTCTATCATTTTGGAGGAGAGAGTGAGAGAGTGAAGATAAAGGGGAGGTGGAGAGAGAAAATGGGGATAGAGAAAAAGTGAGGAAGAAAGAAGAGACAGACAGAAGAAGAGACACAGAAAAAGCAGGGAGGGAGATTGGAGATAGAGATAGAGAGAGGACAGATGAAGGAAAACTGCTAGGAAGGGAGAAGAGAGGAGGAGAGTGGAGAAAAAAGGAGAACCGGAGAGCGCTGAGGGTGGGGGGAGGGAGAGTCCCAGAGCTGTTTAGTGACAGCTTGGGAACGTTTGGGGAAGCATCAGAGAAGAGAAAATGGAGCTATCGAAGCACCTGGATGCTGTAAGTAAATGTGCAGAAGGCAAGGGAGGGGGCCAGTCACCCCTCTGCCTCTCTCCTCCATCGTGGGCTGAGGCCTGTTAGGTCACTGGGTGGGGGGGGGGGGGGGGGGGGGGCTGCGATACCTCTAAAGTCTGCAAAACCTGCTGTGTCCCAGCCCTGCCATCTTTTCCCATGAGCCAGACTGGGGAAGGAGTGGCAGGGAAGAGGGATTCTGAGAGCTACAGAGGGCCCCAAGCCCACCAGAGCCAACCTGACTGAGGGAAGCAAGCAGGAAAATGGCTGAAGGGGAATGGGGACAGACAAACTGTCAAGTAGGCAGACCACACACGAAGAGAACTCCGAAGTCCCTCCTTATCGTCCATCCTCTATGCCTCTATCCAGAGAGCTGGGAGAAAGCTGCCCCTGCCCTCAGCCTCTTCCTCGCTGCCTCTCAGACCCGAAGCAGTCAGCTTGAGAATACCTAATGGCTCCACCTAAACCTTCTCAGGTCCTTTTCCCTTATAAAAAGCATTAGGACTTTCCTGTTGGGCCCCAGCTTGGCTCCAGGCTAAAAGGAAAGCCACTGGGGGGTAGTGGGTGGAGGGCCTACATGTGCCCCTTCAGCTGGAGAGAGTTAGAGGCGGGATAGAACACCTTCAGCCCTCCCCAAACAGCAGCGGCAGCTCAAGCTCCTCCCAAGCACAGAGACACGCTCTGAACCCCACTCCAGCTGCTGCCGACTGTGCCTTTAAATTGCTGCTTTCGGAGGGTGCATCTGGGGGGGAGGTGGGAGGGAGGGAAACATCTTTCTACCATTTCCCTCCTCCCTCCTCTCCAAGACTCTCCAGGGTTTGGAGAGTGATTGCTGCCCAAAGAGAATCCTTTCTAGCTCCCGGCCTGCAGGCTGAGGGCCTCCGGAGCCCAAGGAGATCTCAAGCAGGAGTCGATAGGGTTGTCTTGTCTGTGTCAGGATTGTTTCCAGGGGAATAGCTCTGGCCCCTGACTGATAAGGCAGGGCAGAGGAGAAGAGAAAGAAGAGAAGAGAGAGCGCAACTCCTAGCCCAGCCCCACAGGCTCCTTGCGAACAGCCCAAGTTGGAGAAAGGCTCTGTACTTTTGGTGTTCCTGCAGGAATATCCCCTCTCACATTGGCAACCAGGCTGAGAAGGGGCTCCAGGATCCCTACGGAATGACATCTCTTGTTCCTGCAACTCTCTCCTTCCTTCTCCTCTGGACCCTGCCAGGGCAGGTCCTCCTCAGGTGAGTTGAGTGGAGGTGCATGCAAACACTGGGCCAGGGGCAGCTGGGGTTGGCACAGTTTCCTCTAAGTTTGCACAAAACCTGCATCTGGAGAGCTCTGTGGGAGAACACACTCCCCCATTTAGGACCCAGGAGATTTTCATTAGAGAGGGCAAGGCCTCAGTGCTTGTGGGAAGGCTTCTCATGGGTGGGAGTTTCTTAGATCCGGGCAGGGGTTAGGTAGCTGAGCCCCAGAATGGAGGCTGTCTGTCCTGCCACCCAACCCTGTTTCCCTGTCGACTGGGTCACACACCACTCAGATCCCTAAAAATGACAGCAGCATCTGTCAGCTGCCTGCCCAAAAGGCTTCAACTAGCAGAGGTTTGCCCCAAGATCACATCAGGATGGAACTGGGCTGGCCAAACCTTGACCCTCTACAATCACTCTACCTGTGTACACATGACCACTCACCATCTTCGCCAGGGGAACCGAGTAGCAGTTATTTCCTGGGCTTGCAGACAAGACATGATTTGGGCTCCCTGTAAATGTCTCCCCACCAATTACCCCATTCTCATTAGACCAGGAGCCAGTCTAGGTTGGCAAGGTGAGCTGAGCAGGAAAGATGACTGTGTCTTGGGTTGACCTGGCCATAAGAGGAGTGCCTTCCAAGGTGGAGGGGATAAGCGCCACCTCAGTATCTTCCTCGTCCTTTTTTTTAATTCAAGAAGCACCTCAGGGCTGCTTGCCTCTGAGGAGCCTCCTGTCCCATTGCTTACAGACACATTATCTGGCAGACTGGCAGAGATGCAACATAGAGAAGAAAACTTCTGAAGAGTGAAAAACAGCTCACAGTGGAATGGCAGCTCTGTTGGAGTTGACAGGAGGATGCAGGCAGAGGGAAACATCCAGCTGGGCCTTGCTGGGCCTCCTGGAGGGAAGGCTTCCTCAAGGCTCAAGCTCCAGTGGCAGAATTCCCACTAGAGCTTGGAGAGTGGAGGCAGAGCAAGATGGGATCTTAGAGGATCTGGAATCCAAGTCCCTTATTGTACATATGGAAACTGAGGCCTAGAGAGGGAAAATGACCTGTCCAAGGTCACTCAGGTACCCAGCAACAGAATCAGAGTTCGGCCCCCACCCTACCCCAGGCTTTACATGAGAATGGTTGTCAACTCTGGATCCTCCTAGGTTCTGCTAGTGTTCAGAACTTTCCAGGAATGAAAGAAGGGAGAAGCGGCTGCACACAGTCACAGCTCTCAGGTCCTCAGACAAGGCAGCCCCAGAAAAGGGGGTTCATCTGAGGTTGAGGTCCAAGACAGCTGAGCCCACAGCCTGTCCCAGAGTCCTAGGACTGGGACTAGCTGGAGAGGTGACCTGAGAGTGAGGCTGAGGACCATGGGGAGGGTCCGATTTCTTCATGTGCAGGGCCATGTGACCTCCCAGCAGGCAGGTGGCAGGTGGCCAGCAGCAGTAGCACCTGGCTGGCGTGGACATCCTGTGGTGAAGCCACAAACTTCTGCTTGCTCCAGCACCACCACCAGCCTCCTTAGAATTTTCAGAGCCTGCCTAGGCCACCTGCTCTAGCAGCCCCTGCTGGGGGCCAAGGTGGTCACTGTCCCTAGGGTAAGTACTTCCTCTTGCTTGGGGGATTCAAGAAGGCAGGATTCTAGGAGGTTAGAGTGGGGCTCCCATTGACCTTCTCCAACTCTGGTTCCTTGGCAGCCCATTCTGTGCTGTCTGCATCATGATGGTATGGTGGATACATCTTGTTTTGAAGTCAGTAGCTCTGGGTTTGAATCATGGCTTCACCACTCACTATGTATATGATCATGAAGTCACTTTACCCTGATGATTCTCAGTTTCCTAATTTATCTAATGGAGATACTCACAAGGCTTATCTGAGAGGACCAATGTGAGAACTAAACTAGACAAGGTATAGAAAGCATTTATTATGGTGCCTTAGCTATTTTTATTATTCTATCAGTCACTGGCTGCTGCATAGATTTACTGGGATAGAGAGACCTGCCGGCTCAAAGGAGACTAGGCCCCAGCAGGCCAGCAGTCACCCTGCCACCCAGCCCCACAGTACAGCAGCAGCAGTGGCAGCAGTGGAGCCAACTGTAGCACCCTGGCACAGCAATGACACAGGAGGGGGCAGGAAGTGCCTAGCTAAGCCAAGAATCTAGCCTGAGCTTAGCCCTGAGCTCCACCCCTGCCCCCAAGACTTTGCTGAGCTCCTGGGTCCCAGTCTGTTAGTTGGTACACTGGTAAGCAGGCATGTAGAAGGGGCTTTGCTGCTCTTAGAGGGAAACTCATCAGGGGAGTAGGGGGCTGGCTGGGCCGAAGCACACAGGCCCCTTCCTCAAAATCAAGCTGAGAGAACAAGATAGAAGTTGACCTCAGTATGTCCACCCTACTGGGAGGCTTTCCTGTGCTCCTAGAGCACTGCTTCCCCACCATAGTTGCCAAAACTAGTCTACCTGCCTGCAGCAGCCATTGCCCTGAACTAAAACTAAAATGGCTTCCTGTTTTTTTGAGTCAGAGTCCCACTCAGTCGCCCAGGCTGGAGTTCAGTGTCATGCTCATGGCCACCTCAGCCTCGACCTGCTGGGCTCAGGCAATCCTTCCGCTTCAGCCTTCCAAGCAGCTGGAACTACAGGCGTGCACCACCATGCCTGGCTAATTTTTTCATTTATTGTAGAGATGAAGTCTCGCCATGTTGCCCAGACTGGTCTTGAACCCATGGGCTCAGGCAATCTTCTTGCCTCCGCCTGCCAAAGTGCTGGGATTACAGGCAAGAGCCACTGCCCTCAGTTTAGAAGCTGGAATCTAAATCCTAAACAGCCCAGCATGAAGCCCAAGTGACTAAAACCAACTCTCAGGGATGCAAGTTGTCTGTGATCCCTTTCCATCCTTGGCCAGAAGGGGAAAACATTACAATGGCCACATTATTTCTAGTGAGACATCACTCTTCTTTGAGTGCTTTCAAAGCACCTTCAGAAAGAGAATATCGGATGAGGTCTCAGCCCAAAGTCTGAGTCCTGACTCTGTCACTCACTAGCTCTGAGACTTTGGACAAGTCACTCCTTCTTTTGAAGCCTCAGTTTTCTTATCTGTAAAATGGAAATAATACTCTTCACTCTCATCCCGCTGAGAATTGTGAGGGCAAAAAGATCTAATCTGTGTGAAAGCACTTTTATTGTACTAACTGGTGAGCTGCCATGTTAGCTTATGGTTGTTTTTGTTCTCCTCGTTTTGCAAATGGCACCCAGAGACACATCGTCTCTCATTCTCCTGACTAATGGGGATGAGGATTGAGAGAGTCTGGGTTAAATGCAGAATACAACTGGCCTCAGACTTCTTTACCTCTCCTGTTCAGGGTGGCCTTGGCAAAAGAGGAAGTCAAATCTGGAAACAAGGGGTCCCAGCCCATGTCCCCTTCTGATTTCCTAGACAAGCTTATGGGGCGAACATCTGGATATGATGCTAGGATTCGGCCCAATTTTAAAGGTAAGAAACTTTCATCCTACAAAACCCCTCCCTACCCACCACTTTTGGGGGCACACTACCCAGCCAGCTACTATTGCCTGCCCCAAAGAAAGAAGGCTGGAGGGCTAGGGTTTTGACAGCTCAGAAGGAGTCTTTTTTCCCCATTGTCCATAAGCCTGTGTACTGGCACTGCTTTCTCCCAGCAGTGCCCTAACCTGAAGCTCAGGAAGGGAGTTCTGGAACCTGCTCCCAGCCTCCTGGAATGCTCTGCCCATGGGCTGTGCTTTGCTACCCTTAGGCCCACCTGTGAATGTGACCTGCAACATCTTCATCAACAGTTTCGGCTCTGTCACTGAGACCACCATGGTAAGGGATCTCCCTGTTCCTTACTTCCATTCTAGTGAAAATGGGAGAAGCCCACAAGATAGCAAGTACTGCCTCCCTCTGCTGTCCTGTCCCTGTTTCGTGGTCATGGCTAAAGCCATGGGGTGTCTGAAGTTGGTCACTGGGAGGACATTTTTCCCTAGTCCCGAATCTCCATGGCTAAAGACAGACTAGCCTAAGAGCAGGTGGTCAAACATGTGAAATAGCTTGGTGCAGAGCCCAGGCTTTGGAATCAGACACACCTGGGTTCAAATCCTGACTTCACCATCTAATAGCTATTTTCACTTAGGCAGGTTACTTAAATCTATCTTTGTCTCAGTTTCCTCATCTGTAACATGGAGATCATGACAGCACCCTCCTTACGAGGTTGGTGTGAGATTTACATGAGATGATGCATATTTAAACCACATTTAGCAGAGAGGCTGCCACATTGTAAGTACTTAAATAGGTGATTTTCCCCACTCATCTTTGCCATATCAGCCCAAGGCAGGCTTCTTTCTTCTCCAGTGGAAAATGTCCACTGCCCCTGATAGGTGCTCCCAACATTTTCTCCTCATGGCCCTCCTGCCCAAGCAGGTTTGCTAAACCCCTGGGAATAACACTGCCTCTGATGGGCCCATCTCTGTACCCTTCCAGGACTACCGGGTGAATGTCTTCTTGCGGCAGCAGTGGAATGACCCACGCCTGGCCTACCGAGAATATCCTGATGACTCTCTGGACCTTGATCCCTCTATGCTGGACTCTATCTGGAAGCCAGACCTGTTCTTTGCCAATGAGAAAGGTGCCAACTTCCATGAGGTGACCACGGACAACAAGTTACTGCGCATCTTCAAGAATGGGAATGTGCTCTACAGCATCAGGTGCACCTGGTGGATGGCCAGGAGAGTTTGCATCAAGGGGAGGAAGCCAGATGGAGGTTGATGGGTGGGAGGAGTGTTCCTCTGTACTTGCTAGGCCCCAGTATGCCAATGTCACTTCTTTCTTATTGTTACCACCAGGTTGACCCTCATTCTGTCCTGCCCGATGGACCTCAAGAATTTCCCCATGGACATCCAGACCTGCACAATGCAGCTGGAGAGCTGTAAGTGTTTCTAAAGAGTCACAGAGCAAGGCCTGGAATATCAACTAGTTAACCCATCCCATGATATTCCAGTCAAGCAAAGGGCTACTCAGAGTGGGGAGGGACTACCCAAGCACATCCAGTCAATTCTTGGCACAGATGAGACTAGAAGCCAAGGCTCTTTAACCCGCAGCCCAGTTTGTTTTTCCATCCCCATACTATTTGCTAGTCTGGCTGTTCTACAGGTCTGGGGAATAGGGATGTACCAGCTTTATACACAAATGTGCTTGTGCCGGTTGTAGGGGGGTGATTTGAGAGGCACCTCCTCCACCCAAATGTATGTCGCCTCTCACAGTGCCTGAAATAGTTCTATCTTTACTCTCCCTGAGTTAAAACTTTGCAGATGCCTACAAAAACATCAGAGTGGGCAGTGTGGGAGCACTCTTTAAACCCTTATTTCCCATGAGCATAGATAACTTTGTAGAGAGGTAGAAATGGACAGTGCTAGGTACAGGACAGTGCCTAGAATGGAGAGGTCAGCCAAGGGCTCTTCTATGGCAGGAATGCCAGCCTGTAGGAGTTGTCCAAAGTGCAGAGGAGTTGAAGGATGACAAGGTTGGACCATCATCTGTTTCCATTGCTTCCCCATCTCCTGGGTGAGGAGAGCCTGTGAAATCAGGAGACATCCAAGTGAAGTTCAGAGAAGAAGGCTTGTAAAGCTGTTTTCAGAATATAACTGTGATGAAGAGAATGTGTCTTATGTGATCAGCTTTTTAGAATTCATAAATCACTTTTATATCTAGAATCTCATTGCCCCTTCATAGTAACTCTGAAAAATGAGAACAGTTACTATTACCCCACATTTATTTGTTTGTTTGTTTTGTTTGAGACAGGGTCTCATTGTGTCACCCAGGCTGGAGTGCAGTGGTGTGATCATAGCTCACTGTAGCCTCTAACTCCTAAGCTTAAGTGGGCCTCCCGTCTCAGCTTCCTTAGTAGCTAGGACTACAGACTCTCACCACCACACTTGGCTAATTTTTCTTTTTTGTAGATACAGGGTCTCACTATGTTGCTTAGGCTATCGCCATTTTAAAGACAGGAAATGATTTACCCAATGTTACACAGCTACTCTGGGTCAAAGCTTCACATTTAACGTCTGTGAGCCTTAGTGTTTCTGCTCCCATCTGTTCCTGACATGTGCAAATTGGTCATATACGTGATGTGAGCCTTCATGGACTGCTAAGCTATCTGTGAGCAACCTGGCATGTTCAGATATTAGCTCTTAATTTGCCCCAATTCAAGGCTCTGGCTAGGAGTCTGTGGTATGCACATTGTCCTATGCATGACTGGCAGGATATAAATAGCTCTGTCTTCCCTGAGGTAAGGTGGCAGAAGCCCTGGCTCTGAGGCTGGCTCTGCTCAAGACATGTGTTTAGTACACATGCTTACTCCCCTGGGCTTGAGATATGGCAGGAGGCTCCCAGCTGGGTTCCTTGACATCTTTCCAACCCTCTTGACCTGCTTTCTAGGTCTGCCAGAATAATTTCTCTTTGGGCCTTTCTCGAACTTGAGAACTGGGTAGGAGAAGAGTCTGGTATCTTCCCAACTTACTTACCCACTTAGGATGAGCCCATGAGATAACTGACCAGTATCCTCTTCAGAAAATTTTCCTTTCCAAGATGAGCATGACTCTCCTAAATCCCAAGCCTTATTCCTTATCTGTTCTCACGTGCCAGTTCTGACCCTATCTCTACCCCCACCCAGCACCCACACTCTGCAGCCCTCTACCATCTCTGTCACTTTCAGTTGGCTACACCATGAATGACCTCGTGTTTGAGTGGCTGGAAGATGCTCCTGCCGTCCAAGTGGCTGAGGGGCTGACTCTGCCCCAGTTTATCTTGCGGGATGAGAAGGATCTAGGCTATTGTACCAAGCACTACAACACAGGTAAAAACCAGGATCTTTACTGACTGTGAGTCACAGGAGAACTTTCAGGTGAGTGGCAAGGGGACAAGACAGCTAGCCTCTATTGAAGGCCCAGTCTATGCCAGTTATTGTGCCAAGCTTCACATACCTATCTCATCATGATAGCAATTATCAACACCATTTTTCAGAAAGAGAAAACTGAAGTTCTAAGAGTTGTCCAAGTCACACAGCTAGTAAATGGCAGATTTTGAATTCAAATCCAGGTATGTCTAACTCTAAAGTTCATGTTCTTGTCCCTACTGCAGAGCAAATAGCAGTGAGTGGCAGGAGCCAGCTTTGGATGGAAGCAGGGGAATCCGCATTTGGGAGTAGTCTGTGGCTGTGTGAACTGTGAACAAGGAGGGAACAGGCCAGAGGGCAGCCAGCAGCTTAAAGTCCACACCTCCAGCTGCCACCACCACTGCCCAGCTCTCACCGAACTGGTTTGTTTCTCTAGGTGTGAAACATAAGCCAGGAAGTGGGAAAGGGCAGCTTTTCCAGTTTTGAGCATCTGCCCCTGCAGCTTCTCTAAGAGTTACTGGCTCCTCATTTCCCCTGGCAATTTGGCTCTAGACCTGAGATAGAAGCAATGGGCTATATTGGGAAGATCCCAGGTCCCTCCCATAGGATGCTGACATGCTTTGGGTGCCACCCCATGAATATGTGTTTGCATATATGTGAGGTGTGGGGAGTGGGAAGAGGAAAAGGCCATTTAGAAAATGCAGATGGGAGTAGAAATTGGTATAACCTTCTCAGGGGGGATAAAAACAAAGTTGTTTTCAAACTTTGGTGTGCATAATGGAGAATCTGTTAAAATGTTTATTTCTAGACTCTTCCTCTCAGAGATTCTGATTACTTATGGTTGTAGTGATGCCCAGAAATCTGCATTTATTTTTTTTTTTGAGTTGGAATCTCACTCTGTTGCCCAGGCTGGAGTGCAGTAACGCACTCACGGCCATCCCAGTATCGACCTGCTGGGCTCTGGAGAGCCTTCCACCTCAGCCTTCCAAGTAGCTGGAACTACAGGTGTGCACTACCACACCCGGCTAATTTTTTGATTTATTGTAGAGATGAGGTCTCGTGCAGTTGCCCAGGCTGGTCTCAAACCCTTGGGCTCAGGCAATCCCCTTACCTCGACCTCCCAAAAGTGCTGGGATTATAGGCTTGAGTCACTGTGCCCAGCCCAGAAATCTACATTTTAACAAGCATCCCAAGGATTCTGATGCAGGTGGTCCAGAGGACATACTTTGAGAAACTTTAGTCTAGAAATTAAATTTTTTTCTTACTTATTTAGCCAGGAATCCCACTCCTTGGAATGTATTATAAGAAAATATTCCAAAATATCACATTGACCTTAGAGCCCAAGGGGTCTCCTGGGTCGCTATTTATACTCACAAAAACTTGAAACTGTATTAAATATTCACCAATAGGGCAGAGGTTAAGTACATTACATAGTGCATCTGCTTGGTGGAATAGTATGCAGACATTAAAAAAGATATTTACAAGGTGCTTATATCAACACAGGAAAGTACAAATGAAAAAAGGTAAGATTCAGAGTTGTATACACTCTGAATGATGTATGATTATACTGTGGTAAAAGAAACAAACCAAAAACATGCATTTTTTTTTTTGAGTTGGAGTCTCACTGTCACCCAGACCGGAGTGCAGTGGCTGCTCCCAGCCACCTCAGCCTCGACCTGCTGGGCTCCGGCGATCCTTCCACCTCAGCCTTCCAAGTAGCTGGAATTACAGGCACGTGCTACCACGCCCGGCTAATTTTTTATTTATTGTAGAGATGAGGTCTCACCAAGCTGCCCAGGCGGGTCTCAAACCCGCGGGTTCAGGCAATCCACTCACCTCAGCCTCCCAAAGTGCTGGGATTACAGGCTGAGCCACCAAGCCCGGCTCAAAACATGCATTTTAAAACCCTGGAAGGAAACAGCACAAAATATTTCTAAAGTAATATGTTATAATGGATAAGAACAAGATCTTTGGAGACAGATAGAGCTGAGTTTGGATTCTGGCTCCATTGTTTACTAGCTGAATGCCCTGGAGAAACATAACTTAATCTCATCATACTTCGGTATCCCTATCTGTAATATGAGAGATAATAATTTTACTTGCCCCAAAGAATTGCTACAGGATTAAATAAGATAAAGTGTACAAAATCAGGTCATTTGGCAAGGGTTTGAAAAATGTGAGTTTATGAATATTATTTCTTCTCATTTTTTCTGTATTAGACAAGTGTTAATTTTGTAATTAAGAGCAAAACTGCTATTGAAAAAAAAAGGAAAGAAGGGAAAGAAAATCTGGGTACAAGAAGCCCAGGATAGAGTGAGGTGAAGTGGATTCAGGGAATAGTAAGAGGTCACATCATCATGCAGCATGTCCAAGCCTTAATCAGTCATTGATGAAACCACTGTCCTTGTCGAACCGGGTAGGCTTGATAAGACTAAACCTTGGCTAGAATAAAATAACAATCCTCTCTTTTTTGCTTAGATTATCCTAAACCCCTGCCTTTGAGAGAAGCTCTGAGCTAGTGTTTTCTTAGCCCTGGGGCTATGGAAAGCAGAGTAAAGTGAAGGCTGGCAGGGGAAGCAGAGCATTGGCCCATGTGCCTGGGGCCAATGCACTTTTTGTTGGTGGAATAGAGTGCTGCTGCCTGATACCTCATTAGAACCTGCTGCCCACTGTCCAGAGCTAGTCTCTGTTGGGCATTGTTTCCAGATGTTTACTATCTGGCTCTTCTCACTTGCTTAAGACACAGGCAGTGTTTATTCCAGTGAATTGTTGCTAGAGAGTTTCTGGGGTACTAGCAAGTGTGAGCAAGGCTGCTGAGATCTGAATGGAGTTTAAGCTCATTGCCTTGTTCATAATGACAACAATAGTAACAGCTATCTATGTGCTCAACACCTTAACTACACTATCTCATTTAATTTTTCCAATAACCCAGTGATGGAGTTGGTATTGTTATTACTCTGTTTTACAGGTAAGGAAACTGAAACTCAGAAAGCTTGGGTGTTTGCCCAAGGCCACAGAGCTAACAAGTGGAAGGTTCAGTATTCAAACACAGGCAGTCTGACTCTGGAGACCTCCTGCTCTTTATCCTTTTGCTGTGTTGTCATATGAAGGGCCTTCTGCTGGAAATGAAAGTGCTGGGAGCAAGAGACCAAGTCTTTGATGGTCACTCTGAGAGCTTCCTTAGTACATATATCTGGCAATGCCTATCAAAATGATAGTCCTTATAGTCTGTGCCAAGTTACTTATTGGCCCAGAGATTGGTCAGCAGAGGTTAATTGGGCTGCCCTTGTCTGGCCCTAGTTCCCTCAGGCTGAGCTGCAGGCTGGGGATCTGGGGTCTGATACCTCATCTCTTTCCTTGCAGGGAAATTCACCTGTATTGAGGTAAAGTTTCACTTGGAACGGCAGATGGGCTACTATCTGATTCAGATGTACATCCCCAGCCTACTCATCGTTATCCTGTCCTGGGTCTCCTTCTGGATCAACATGGATGCTGCCCCCGCCCGTGTGGGACTGGGCATCACCACAGTGCTCACCATGACCACCCAGAGCTCTGGCTCCCGGGCCTCTTTGCCCAAGGTGAAGAGACATGCAAGGGAACTTGCTTGCGATAGAGCTCCCCATTTTCCATTCATCCAATTTTCTGCTCATTATTTACCTTGGATTTAAGGTTGAGAAGTGCCATTGAGCAAGAGCTGGTGTCTTGCATTATCTTTTCCCCCTACAACATATTGCTAATAACATTGCTAACAACATAGAGCATTGGGGTTAAGGATGCTGTCTGGCTAGGGAATGAGTAGAGACAGTGCCTTACCTACTTTGACTTTCTTCAGGAAATACTAGCATATTCAAGGTCAAAAGACACTTAGCAAATAGAAAGACTCACTCTCTTGTGGTACAGATGAGGAGAATACAGCCCAGAGAGGTAAAATGATCTTCTCAAGGTCATGCCCCACAAGAAACAATCAAAGGAATATCAGAATTTTGAACCAATTTCTGTCCTCTTACTATATCAGAAATCAGATACTATTACAAAGAGATCTAGTGACAGTGCCTATTCTTTTGGGATGAGAAAACTTTGAGGTAGTAAATAGCAGTTAAAGTCAGTGGACTCTGATTGTCTGGGACTTGGTGATATTTTGATTACACAGGAAGATTTGTGCTGATGGGACTGGGCACAGATTCTTCCTGCTTCATGTCTTCATGTAGGGAACATAGAGGTCACTTCAAAGTCCTTACAGTCAGCAAGACTCTGAGCATGTCAGGGAGCAAAGCTATTTATTCATTCAATAAATATTTATTGAGCATGTGCTATGTACCAGACACTGCACTTGGTCATGGAGAAATGATGGGAAACAAAAATACCACAGTTCCATGTGGGTCTTACTGTGAACATATTTTCTCTTGCTTTGGTTTATTGGGAACCAAGTCCTGTGATCTCTCATCTCGCAGTGCTTGTTCCTAATAAGACATTTTACAGGGGACTTACACAGGGAATAATCTGGAACATCCATGGTGAATTTATGAATTTTCTGTATGGAGGGAGTGGTGGTTAAAATGAGGAGGTTGGAGTCAGGCAGATTTGGGTTTGAGTCCCTGGCTCATCATCTACTAATAGTGTGACCTTGGGTAAATTCCTTAATTTCTTAATCTCTTCACCTATAACATTGGAATAAGAATATTGCCTCTTCCATAAGGTTATTGCAAAAAATAAATCATGTATCAACAAACAGAACAGTGTTTGGCACATAATGACCGCTCAATAAATGTTAACTATTGTTATAATTACGAGGTGTCAGGGTTGAAAAAACTGAGTGACGGATCTGATGCTAAAGCAGCTTTGATTGTCCCTGATTATTTTTGAGTTGTCAGAAAACCTTTGCAGTGGCCCAACACCCTATAGGGATAAACAGTGATAAAGCTCAGATCAGGATCCAGTGTTTCAGGGAAAGTTTTCAGGGATCATTTCCTGCAAATGTGTTTCCTAGATAGACGGGAATAGTGACAAGGCTCTGAGAAGTAGGCTGGACTTGGGTAAGGGCTACAAGGCCAGGCTGTGTTTTGGTAGTGGCCTTGTATGGAGACCAGAGGCAGAAAGTAGTTCAGACCTAAGAATCCTGCCCTAGTTTATTGCCTCTGCCATGCAACAAGATTCTTCTCTAACTCAGAAAGATATTGCAATTTATGTCTTACTCTTGCCAAGAGAACTTCCTTTTCTGGTCCCCTCCTGTGAGTGAACATAATCCATCTGCTCCTAGGAATCACTTAGTTTTCTCATTTGGAAAAAATGGACTTTGTTGGAGGGTTGTTTGTTTGCAGTGTTTGGTGCCTTCTCATCAGATTTTAATGACTTTTTCATGGCCTCATTAGCCAGTAAGCAAAATATCCAGACATACACCCCAAACTAAATAGCCTCATTAGCCAGCCCCACAGAGCAAGGGACTCTAAGACAGGGAGTATCTTCTCACTCATGAGTTTGTACAACATTAGGTTTGGGAAGCCCTAAGGGAGGAGATTGGACCAGACCAGGGCTTCTGAAAGTCACACCAATAACACCCTCCCACCCAATACAACTCTAGTGTCCAAGATGAGAGTAGCAGAGGCTTACTTTGTAAGAGAACTCAGCAAGGGTGGCCATTCTCCATGTTCCCAGGAAAACACTGTTTCTTTGCCTTTATGGGGGCACCCAAAGGCACTGATCACCATCTCTTTATCAGGTTCTCGATCTCCTCAACTGCAGGTGACTCAGAGCAGAATAGAAGGGCTGAATGGAAGTTTAGCAGATTAGACTTAAAGTTGCAACAGGGAGAAAGGACCCAATTTTCTCTAGATCCTGTAATCTAAATAGCCTGCAGGTCTTGAGGCAGATAGTGGTGAGGAGGGCAAAGAAAGCAAACAGAAGCCAGGAGAGACAAACACATTGCTAAACCATCTGCCATTCATGCATTCAACAAATATTTACTGTGTGCCAGGCACTCAGCTAGACATTGGAGATAGAACAGTGAATGAGACAGAAACAGTTCCTGCCATTGAGGAGCTCACAGTATAGTGGAGGGAAGGGCCAGGTATGTGATGGATGCTGTGAAGGTGTAGGTAACCTGAGCACGCATAGCAGGACAACCAACACAGTCTAGAATGACCGGGAGAGGCTTCCCAGGGGCTGTGATATCTTAAATGAAAGCTGAAGAATAAGTAATTTATCTGGGTAAAGGAGAAAAGAGGAGAGGAGATCGGTTCCTTGAGATGCTACTGAAATAGTTCACTGTGCTAGAGTCATAAATTGCAAAAGATGCAAAGAGAATGAAGAGGTAGGTAGAGGCAAGGCATCATGATAAGGGAGCCTAGACTGTATCATAAGAATAATGGAGAACCACTGAAGGGTTGGAAGCAGGGGAATGATTATGATCATATTTATATTTTGGAAACAAAATTCTGGCTGCTGTTTAGAGAACAGATTGGAAGTGACAAGAGTAGATGCAAGGAGACCATTGAAGAGAATGTTGCAGTCCTTCAGACAAGCTAGGACAGTGAGTGGACAGATTCCTGAGAAGTTTAAGGTATATTATTGACATATTCATCATTAACAAGGCTTTTGCCATGGTGCTCAAGGTGTCTTTTCCTTTGGTGGTCCAAAGCCCTTCATGGACCTCCCTTTATAAAAATGAGTCATTAACTCATTATTGATCTTGATAGCAGGTATTTGCCATCCTTGAGGGCACAGTGAGACTGAGAGGCGGTGAATGAAATAGGATGCCTTGTTAGTAGGTAGCAGAGTAGAGACACCAAGGTATGCTTAATCAGAGTTGCCTAGTAACCCACTGCCACCATCCCAGTGACATTACCCTAAAAGAGGTAGAACAGGGTTTCTCATCCTTAGCACTATTGCCATTTGGGGCTAGATAATTCTATGTATACATGTATGCATGCTCACGTGTGTGTTTGTGCATGTATGTGTGTGTGTGTGTGTGTGTGTGTGTGTGTGTGTGTGTGTGTGTGTGTTGGAAGTCAGGCAGGGGGTTGTGCACTGTAGGATGTTTAGCAGCATCCTTGGCCTCTACTTACTAGATGCTAGTAACCACCACCCAAAAAATTATGCTAAAACTGTCTCTAAACATTGCCAAGTGCCCCTGAGGAAGGAGGACAGAGTTGTTTGTCCCCAGTTAAGAAGCACCAAGGTAGAGGGTTTATCAAGTAAAACCTATTCCTTACCTGGGGTCTGTAGCACCCTAGCATAGCAGAGGCTGATGATAGAAGTGACCTGTCATGCATCCTGCTACTGCTGGGGAACCCTGTAGGGTGAACTCAGCAGCTCAAAACTATGTAGAAAGGCAGTCTGGTTGAGGAGATGAAAGGATCTCCTAAACCTGATGTCTGTCTCACCTCCTGACCTCACCCAGCCACCACCCTGTTCCAGGAGAGACTAGTGTTCAATCTTTACAAGGGACTTGGGAGAGAAAAGTACTTAGAGTCTACCAAGACAAGTAGTGAGAGGAGAGTACTAGAGACTGGATAGGTGGATGCCAACAATGCCTCGACTAGCCAAGTGCCCTTACAGGGGGTGGGTGGTGCTCCTTCAGGATTCCTGCCTCTTATTCTCTCCAGGGTGAGAGATGAGGCCCCAGCTCATAACTGAGCTCAGTTCCTCAGTAAGTCTTCTCACAAAGAGCAGCAGAAAACAACCACAGGGTCAAGGGACAAACAGGGATGGAGACAGGAAAAGAAGGAGCTCCTACTCTGTCAGTGAGTCTGCAGCCAGGTAAATGGCAATGCCACTGAATTGAAAGCCCAGAACCCCCAAGTCCTAGTGCTACCTTCTCACTGGGTAATCTTGGCTTAGATCCATCCTTTCTAGGCCTTAAGCATCCTTAGGTGTCTCACATGGGAATCATTAACCCTGTCTAGTTATCACCATGGGTTGAGGACCATAGGAGACAACAGAGGGCAAATAAATGCAGTGTTCATGTTCACTGCTGTTTATTGAAAGAAAAGAATCAGAAGAAGATCAGAATAAAAAGAATAATTACAACCAGAAGCAGAAGTACAAGAAGAACAAGGAAAGAAAGGAAAAGAAGTATAGGAAAGAAAGGCAGGTAGAAGTGGAGGGTGGAGAGTGCAGAGAGGTAGATGATGACAGGTGGCCCGAGCTCTTTGACATGGGCCTTCAGACGATGGGACATATCATGGAAAGCTTCTTTAAACACTAGAAAAAATTCTGGATACAGCTGAAGAACAGCAGGCAATTGATAAGGGCTGGAAATCCACTGGATAGGCCACGGAAGGACTCCAAGAAGGTTGATTGCTCTGTTGGTGAATGTTGTAGGTGTCCTATGTGAAGGCAATCGACATCTGGATGGCCGTGTGCCTGCTCTTTGTGTTCGCTGCCTTGCTGGAGTATGCTGCTGTCAATTTTGTCTCCCGTCAGCATAAGGAATTCATTAGACTTCGAAGAAGGCAGAGGCGCCAACGTATGGTGAGTACAACTAGGTAAGGGCCCACTTCCTTCCTCCTTTGGACTCCTTCCCCCACACTATTCCTCCCATAAACTAGGACCCAACCCAAGGCTGCAAGGACTAGACAGGCAATGAGGAGCCTCAGAGTCTGGCCCTAGGCTTGTCACAGCTAAGTAATTTAACCTCTTTAATTCTGTTTCCTTATCTGTCCAGTGGGATATCCATCCCTATAAGACGGGATAGCAGAGTGACTAAGCATAGGCACAGTGCCTGGCACCGAATAAACACTGAAAATACATTAGCTAGTATTAGAACCGGATCAAGTTAGCGCATATGAGATTGCTTTCAGAAGTAGTAATGGTTACTCCTGGCTCTCCTCCTACCTTGGAGGAAGGTATCTCAGGCTGTCATATACTAATTGGTGGTTAAGAATTCAAGAGCCGGGCTCGGTGGCTCAGCCTGTAATCCCGCGCCTTTGGGAGGCTGAGGTGAGTGGATTGCCTGCGCCCGCGGGGTCGAGACCC